GTAAATTTGTCCTATCAATAGATGTATATATGTTTTATCTGTCACATCTCAGGAATAACAGTATTGTAAATTCTTGGGGTGTGACAATACTACTCTAAAAGCCATCATAATTCAAATAATGAAACTAAGAGTAATTGAGAATTACCGCAAAAAAAAAAAAAAAGGCTGCCTTATGGCTTAATAGATAATTGATGAGTATCTTATGTTTGGATGTGATTTACATAAGATATCAACCTTATACAACCAAAGTACGGCACACCTCCAAACTTTATTAACCAAACAGTTTTGGTGCCATAAATTTTATGATTATCTGGATGTATATTTCCACTCCTATATAAAATCTGAAGCTCAAAATTTTGTGTAGATCGAGCAGATCTACAAGTACTTGAAAATATTGAAAATAGACAACCTAGATATTGCGTTATTTATAGTACTTGGAATCTTTTTTATATGGAAAAAATTTATATAAGTATGCAACCTTATAATGTGGAACTACGGATACACCTCAAAAATCCATTTGAAAACGTAGTTTTAATGTTGAAAAACCCTTTAATTGATCATCTCGACATCGAGATGTATGATCATAAAAAATAAAAATATTTTAAGTCTCAGAAATAGTGCATTTTACAACATATTATCTACACCGTCCATTTTCAAGATTTTCATATGTTTATAGATCTACTTGATTTTAATCATTTTTTAAATTTAAAATTTTATAATTAGATATAAAAATAGATTTTGAGATAATCCTAAGAACATTTTAGATCAAAATTATATACCATAATAAATTTTGAAAGTGCACCTCATCTCTATAGCTGCAAATGCATTCATATTCAATTGCACCCTGTTTATATTCATAACCATGTATCTCAAGGTCATAATGATTAATTGGATATATACAACCTTTTATGATGAGTTTTAAAGTGTACTTTACTTCTACAACATAGGGTTGATGTAAGAAAAAAAATTTGATTACTGGGTTTTCCAATACTTAGGTTTCATCTATCCCTTACAACATAGGGTTGATGCCCTATATAAATATCTCCCCACATGTTTTAATATTATTGGGTAATATGTTGATAAATTGCTAGTATTTTTTCTTGGAAAATATATTATGTATTATCTCAAAATAATATTTATTTAAAAATTATATTTTTCAAAAATTGTCTCAAAAATTTTTTATTTTTTATTTTTTTGTCTTATTATAGAGAGAATGTGACAAATCAATGTTCAATGCCCAAGTTTCACCACCAAATCGAATACAAAATCAAAACTTCATACCTCATTAAAAAATTCAAACAATTAGTTGGAGTGGACCAAACATCTTAAAAAAGCCTGATATTTTGTTTTTTTTACAATAAATTGGACCTTTTAAGTCTTTGTTTTTTCATTTGGGCCCTGCCAACCCCACAAGATTTGTGTTGAATTGAAAGAGTTGATCAATCTTTTCAAAAGTGGTCCTATCTTTGGCTATGACAGCATCCCTTTCATCTCTTATCCTCTTTTGAAATTGGTTGAGCATTGCTCCAAAAACCCTAGAACGTTTGTGCTTTCTTGTCCCCTTTGAAATTGGAAAAGTCTTTCTAATTTTTCAACAATAATTGAGCTTCCCAATATGTGTTCCATCTCTTCCCCCTCCCTTCTCCCCCTTCATCTATTTGATTCCAAAGACAAAAGGGAGGTCACAAAAAAGACCGGAAAGGGGAAGAGGTTAGAGAGAAAATAATGGTAATATGGAGTTTGGAGAGAAGCAAAAATAATAGCCCGATCATAGCTTGCTTATTGGGAAATTTATATCAGAAGGGTACGGTTTTGTATAGAGCCAAAATTCTAAACAATCAAAGTAAAACGCCCCTTCAAATAGTATCGAGAAATATGGTTTCAATATTGGAAATCTTTGTGATAGCCTTAAAATATATTTTCATCTTTAATTATTAAATTTAAAGCTTCAAAAATAGTGTAGAACGAGAAGATCTATGAAAACTTGAAAACCCTGAAAATGGAATGTCCGAAAATGCATTACAAGATGCACTATTTTCAAAACTTGAAATCCATTTTTTTCTCATGTCCATGCATCTTGAGCTCGAGATGATGAATTTGAGTATCAAAACAATCTCTTATAGTGAAAATTTTTAAGTGCACCTTAATTTGATTGTTTAAGCCTTGCACTTATATACACTTTTTCCTCTTTTTTTCACTTGCAAGAGTTTCATAGTCCTGATATTGCAATATTTTAAGGGATTCTCCTCTTGCAGGCTACCAAGAAAGTAAAATTATGCATGCAATTACTTTCTTGTTCAGGTTTGTTGAAGCACATAATTTACTCGTATTTCAAGAGAAATAACAATGATTTGTGTTGATTTGAAAGAGTTTGATCATTTTTTTCTAAAGTGGTCCCATCTTAGGCTAGGATTAGATCTCTTTCATCTCTTATCCTCTTTCGAAATTGGTTGAGAATTGTTCAAAACACTCTAGAGGGTTTGTGCTTTCTTCTCCCTTGAAATTGAAAAAGTTTATGCTTTCTTTCTTTTTTTTCAGACAATAATTGAGTTTCCAAATATGATTTTCATCTCTTCCCCCTCCTTCTCCCCTTGGATCTATTTGCTTTTAGATTCCAAAGGCGAAAGGGAGGTAAGAGAGAGATAGGGGAAAGGGAAAGAGGTTAGAAAGAGAATACTGGAACATAAGGAGTTTAGAGAGAAACGAAAATAATAGCCATATCATAGTTTGCTTATTGGGAAATTTATCAAAATATTCATGAGATATGAATTATTTAATATTTTTCCCATGTTGTTTGATTGTGTTTCAATATACCCATGAAAAGATACATGATCATGAGTTGGTATAGTAACAGATATGTGAAATCTTAAATAATGCAACTCATGGGCATTTGTTAAAATTCCTTCGTTTTTTTAATTGAAAGAGGGGAATCGAACATCTTCCCTTCTAGAAAACCCTAAGCCGAGGATAACAGGTGGACTCAAACTAAAATCTCAATAAATAAAAACTCTTTAAAAATATATCGTGGAGAGCTCTTTTATTAAAAAGAAAAAAGTTTATATAAGGTTGCAACCTTAAAATGTAGAATTAAATATGTACCTAAAAAATCAATTGAAAAATGTTGTTTTACTAATGGTATATTCATATTTCTCACCACCATGTACTATCAAAATATAAAATTAACCAAATAAAAAATAAAATTAGCAAAATATTCGCACATATTTTTTTGGTATAAAAGAATACACTTTTTTTAGAAGTATGGACAACCAAAATTCTTGCTTAAATGAAATCATAAAAATAAAATAAGATTGAAATAAAAAGCATGCTCTAAAAAAAGGGACGTGAGTGTTGAGTGTAAAGAACGAAATATTGTGAAAGATTTTTAAATTCCACAAAATATAATGGATATTTGCATGAATTTCTACGAAAACTTACTTGCGGAGCTTTTTGCCTCACAAATTGGAGATGTTCCCTGCTCATCTTGATGGCAAATCTTCACATCCTGAAGTTGCTAGTAAAAATCGTGTCCCTTAGTGAGCCATCCATTTTTTGGACAGTTCGGACTCCGGACTACATGTTCAAGAAAATGTTGTTTTTTCTTTTTTATTCCAAGTCGGACCATTTTTAAATACTACTTTAAACAAGTGCTTTGCCTATGGGAGTAAGTGAGTGTCCATTAGTCAATATAAATATACAAGCTTGTCTTATATAAACAAATGCAAATAATAATAATAAAATTAAATCACATACGCCTATATCATATCGAGATATTGTACCGACCCTTTTTATATATACTGATTACAATATGCATCTTTCATTTTAACTTGGTAGGCAATACATACTTTTCCTTATACGCCAACACATGCCTTTAACCATTTTGTTGGGTATCTCAAACATTTAGGATTTTTTAATGACTTAGGAGGATACAAAAAAAAAAAAAAGTAAAAATTAATCAAACATGTACATGGAAAAAGTATATTGTGTGGTGCACTTGTATGTCGTCAAATGCAAATATGTAAGGTTGCGATGAACGGATCATCCGAGTCTGTCAGTGACTGTTGAAGGGAAGCAAGGATTTATCTCTGCCTATCCACTGTATCTAAATTTTCCGTTGTTCAAAGAATAAAATTTAGGTCTATGTTGTTTGTGATGCATCGTGTTATATGAACTCAACCCTAAATTATCAACTCACTTTATTATTATTATTATTTATTGGGGAAATTTATCAAAATATAAAAACATCTGTTTTTATCTGTAATTATAAAATTGTATATTCTATAAATAATTCAATTCAGGCAGATCTAAAAATGACTAATTTTTTTGAAAATATATGGTCCAGATAATGTGTTGTAAAATGTATTATTTTTAAAATTTTAAATCTATTTTTTCCTCTGTATCTATACGTCCCAATGTCCAGATGGTAAACGTCTTTTCAACATCAAAACAACAATTTTCGAAAGGATTTTAGAGGTGCACTTTATTCCTACTTTTTATGGTGTAAACCTTATATAAAATATTTCCTTATTTGAAAAAGGCTAGAATAGACAAATGCTGTACTTTTCCTTGTTATCACATCCAATTTCTGATAAGTTTAAATACCCAATTATTTGATTCTTTGTTATTTCCATATCTTTCTCTCAATGGAATTTGGAAAGCAAGAAATTTTGGATGCGGTTACTATGCATGCCAAGCCCGTACATGTAGAAATACAGTGTTTCTTAAGAGGATTTTTTAGATGAATTTTTGGACTTAATTTTTAAGGACATGTAACCCCTAACATGGAGATCGTGAATATGAAAAAATCAATAAATTTTAAAAGTTAAAATAATAATTTTATAAATAATAAATTTAGATCCGGTGCTTTACACTTCTGGACCGCATATGTAGAAATGCGGCCCAGCCCGCATGAAACAATTTTCCAAGGGTTTTTGGTATTTATTTAGGCTCCGCGCGACCCAAGAGCCATGCATGGTCCCCAAACGGGTCACGTACAGGGCCCACCACTTTGCAACGATGCGCTTCGAGCATCCTCTGCGCGCCACGTGGCTTTTTCTCGCTTTATTTTTAAGTTTTTAACCTCGCTCTACGTAGACGCTCTGTCACTATCGAATTCCAGATTTCTACTTTCCCTTTAAATCTCTCTCTAAACCCTGGTTTTTCCTGCAAAATAATGGAGATTTTCCCCTCTCCATTCGTATTTTAGTGTTTTCTCCACTTCGAGGTGCTTTACTTTGGGGCTTTGCTGTTTCTAGGGTTGGGATTTTGCAGTTGATTTTCATCTATGGAAATGAGATCTGGAGGGAGAAAGCTTTCCTTTGATCTTCTGGCCTATGAGAACTCTGGTGATGAAGAAAGCTCATTGTCTCGTTCGTTTTCAGATGCAGTGAGAGAAAACATGGTGGACAGTGACCTAATTTCTTCGACCAAGCAGCATCGGCGCAAGAGAAGGTCGAAGAAGAAGAAACCCAATGCTTCTGATCCGGGTTTGGTCAGAAACGATCTTCATCCAACTGTTGATCCCAGGGATTTTGCAAATGGGGAATGTGCTGACCGAGAAATAAACAGAAATCGAGAGTTACATACTTTGAAACATTCATGCCATGAAAATGGCGCTGATATGAATGGCTTGGAAGTGGAATTTAGAATTAACGGGATATCATCTAGTGTTTCTAAAGAATCAGAGGATTTTGCAAATAGTGAGACTGTTTATGAATGTGTTGATCAAAACTTTCAGAAATTGTCGGTAACTGGTGTTTCTACTATAGAATTGAGGCAGAGACCAGTTAATGGGAGTGTTCTAGAGCAGGTTCCAGAGATGAGTGGGCCTGCAAAGACGGATGAAGAGTCAGAACTAGAAGAGGAAGCAAAACGTCCATTGGAAACCGTCCCTTCTCTGGACTGGAAAAGCCTAACGGCCAATGATTTGTCTCGTGAGTTCAACTTGAACCAATATTTTTTTCTGATACTTTACTCTCACCAGCATGTAACCATTTTCTATGTATTACTGGTTCATTTGCCATAGGCTCCTGCTCACTTATTCATATTTAGCTGCCTTAGTTCTTGAATATAAGAGGAGATCTAATGGAGAACCCTAGTTTTAATTGATTTGTGGTCCCAAGGATTCTAACCATAGAACCTGACAGCTTGTCTGATTGGTAAACTTCATTTGGTGTTAATGAATCTCGGAGAATATTAGAATGTCAAGTTCTGATGGTTGAATGGTTATATAGTCCAAGAAATTATTGGAACTTCATATTGTATTTATACTCAGAGTAATTGGTGCAATGAATCGACATCAACTCTAAAATGAAAGAAGTTTTTGTGTGACCAAAAGGGAAAATGACACAAGCAAGACTGTTATTATTAACAAAAATCATGTCATGGAGCACAAGAGTTCACTCAATTGTGCTGGGAATTGCTGAATTTATGTACTTTTGCAGAATTGATCATATCTGGTGTTGCTGATTTAGTAGGTCTCTTCAGCTGATTCAGCTGATTTGCCAAATCTAATTGGCTGATATGTGATGATTAGCCTTTATTTGCGAGATTAGGTGGCTATTTGAAATACAGACAAAGTGAATTTATAGAATGTTTCCTTCTCATGCAAAGGCAAGGAGTTGATTAACAAACAAGGTGTTTAAACACTTCCACATCAATTAAGCACTTGTACACTATTACTCCTTTGGCCTGCTTCGTTGTGTTGATGGCCACCAATAAACTGCATTTTTGTCGCTCACATTTTTTGCCCCTTTGTTGATGTTGAAAATCCTTGCTCATTTACAGGCAAATAATTTCGTGAAAGTAAAGGAAATTAAAAAACAACTACAAACAGAACTCATACAATCCTAATTTATCAAAGTGCAGGTTAGAAAACACACCACTTGCCTACCACATGGTCTTAGGCAGCCCCTGACCAAAACTTATTCTATTCATACATACTGTGTCTCTTGTTTGCTAAATCAACTGGTTAGCTTGCTGCACCCAATTGGGAAGCTTTTATGGTGTTGTTCTATTTTCATCTTTTGTCAATCCACATTGCTCTTGCTATTTATTTAGCTCATGGACATGTACTGAGGAGAGAGAGTTTCCTTTAATTTATATAATCTTCTGTGCCTTGGAGCGATCCCATCCTTCACTGTCAATATCTCCTTCCATTCTTCGAATTGCTACATGCCTACCGTCACGTTTGGTTTGGTTCTGACCTGATCCCTATGTTTGGTGCCTAGCATAATTACTAAGACTAGATGACTAGTTGTCTGACTAGTCGCACAGTTGACCCATGCCTTACTCAATCTGCTCCAAAGCAAAATTCAGGTTTAGAAAAACAGTCAAAACCAATGTGTGACAGGTCGGACGTATTGGCTTTGACTAGTTAGATTGGCGTAACAAAGTTGGGCAAGGTTTTGGTAATTTATTTCATATTTATATACTATTAATCCTATTTTTTTAATTGCTATGTTAAAGTTCAATCCAACTGGTTTGAATGGCAATAAGCCAATTTTGATTGGGCCATACACCTCTTTGGTTTGGTGGCGGTTCGATTTTGATAGCATTGGTGCCTTTACCTAGCTTTGGGACATTCATGCTCGCACCATGAGCAAGTGTTGAATTCTCCCCAAGGGCCCAAATTTCCTAGGATATGCAGAGATAGCATGGAACTGGGGAGAGAAAATGCTGTCCAAATACAATATTTCTATGGGTTCCAATGACGGACGATGATGATGTGTCATGATATTATTGGATTATTGGATATTTGAAAGGACCTTATTTATCAATGTTCTCTTTTTATGTAGGACGTCCTGTGCAACATGTGTGTTTGTCCTCGATAATGGTACGAAACATTTTTTGTTACTTTTGAGGGAATCATACCAATATACAAGTAACGCATACCGATATCTATAATAAATGTCTACCAATTACTCATGTAACTTGGATGAATTGTTACCAAAATTCATACCAATAATATTAGAAAGTCATCAAGTATTTTTAGGAAAGTTCCTAAATAGAAATGAGCCAACTATGGGATTTGAACCCAAAACCTTCTCCAAAGAAGGGGCTCATGCTACCTCCTTTGAACAAATCATTTTTGTGACAAATAATCATATAAGAGGGTATAAAGATGACAAATAAGGGAGGGAGGGAGGGAGGGAAGGAGAATATATGCATTACTTGTAGATATTTATATAATTTTTAATTTTGACATCCACGACATGCTTTTGAAAATTAACCGCCAATGTATTTTTACTTGGCCATGAGTACCAATAAATCATAACGTATTTGTTCTAAGAATGTCCCCATATACATGTAGCAATTAAATATAAACTTGTACCATCTGTTATAAAAGCCATACCAAAAAAAAAAAAAGAAGTAATATACCCAAAAAGTTTTTGACCCTCTCATAGGTACCTGGTCCCATCCCAGTACCTGTAGTAATACCTGATAACTATACACAGGACCCTTTGGTTTTAATTAGTTACTGAATTTCATTGATTTCCAAAATTGACGTACAAGTAAGTATCTATCTTTTCTATATGAAATCGAGTTATGTACACTACGTCCCATAAGTCTTCCATTGAATTCTAAGAAGAAACACTAGAGCTCTTTTAAAATTAATTATGTCTGGAAACTCCTCTTGTGAAAGCATCAGCTTCTTTCTCCCAGTGAGTGAGTGAGAGTTGCCTTTAATTTTGTGAAATGTTCTTTCTTCCTCCACACAGCTTATAGGGGCAAGCCTGTCCCCATTTGATGACATGAAAGTCTCCCTCTATGGGTACGGCATCCTTTCATTGCAGAAGCATGAATTTATGTATAAATATTTTTTCAGTGCACAGTGATCTACTTACACCTTAAACTCTGGGGCCTAGGTCGTTTGACTGGTTGATGAACAAGAGGCTCCATTAAGAACAAGCTGAATGAAACTATAATGCAAGATCAAACAATTGCATTCTTAAAATTAAGCACAAGGGAAACTTCAACATAGATATTAAGCCCCACTAAGAACCACTTCATTTAACATTATTTGAAACTATGTGTGATGCATTACTTTATGCATTGATGTGTAGTATGTATTCTAACTGTCAGGAGTAGTGTTCCTTACATTCCAACTTGTTGAACTCTCAATCTGCTATTGAGACACAGTTAATATATATTTTTTAAAGTGGTGTCACACTTTATATTTACTTCCATGCTCTTAGAAAAAATATTTGAGTCTGTTATATGTTTCTTTTGAATCTCATGTATGACCTCTAAAGAACTTGAACTGATAAAAAATTATCAAGTAGCTTATTTCTAGTGGGTTTTTATGCAGATCCTTTACCAGTGGATAATTATCCATTACAATATTTTATGGGAGAAATATATGGCGGCAATTCTTTACGGAGCACAACATCAGTCGCAAATGAAAAAAAGAGGCGAAGGGTCTACAATACAATGTTCCATGTTCCATGGAGATGTGAATTGGTAATTGTTTTCTCTTTCTTGCGAGAGATTTTAAATTCATTAAGCCATCTAGTAAGTCATGGTATGGACTGTATCCATGAGTTGTAGTGTTTTTGCATTACGTAGTTTATTATTTTGTTATATTAACATAGTTTATTGTTTTGTGATATTAATCACTGCTTATTTCCTTTATGGGTAATAGGTATAAGTAGAAAATTCTAAAATGTTTCCTCTTTGGAGGTAGAATGTGTCATAAGAAGACAATGGCCTATGAGTTATAATGTGTAAAACAATGGCCATATTAGGGTCCTGTCACAAAACATAAACTGGGGTTGAAATCTATATGAAGAGATTACCTTGGCGGTGACAGGATCTCAAGATTTTTGTTCTACAGATGCATTTGTGCATGCTTATGCAATATATTTCTACCATGATCCATTATTCAACTTGCTTTAACCTTGTCACAGACCTGCCAATGCTTGTTCCTCTCCTAATGGTGGTGCTCCCATCTTCATTTATTATTCCGATAAGGTTAATGTGAGCATGAGGCTACTGCCTCATGCCAACACCATAAGTACTCCCTTCCTGACCATCCGGCCCCATCTTTTTTATTGGATTGGGGACCTGGAGACCATTCTAAACCCCTGGTTATCCATTTCAACCCTAGAATTAGAGCTCCTAAAATGGTGAGTAACTGACTTATCTAGGGTCTATTGAAATAGAGTGTCCAGACTGCATATTGAGATGGCATTAAAACTGGAGCATTTTGGGGCTCTTAAGTTTTTTTTTTTTTAAACGAATCTTGGTCTTTGGGGTCACTTAGATGGATTTTCATATTTTTGTATCCTCAATCATCCAAAAATATGGAGAAATGAGGGGACTGGACAATTTTTTTGGCTGAGTCTTACCAATTATTTTTCCTTCAAATAATGCCTAGTTTTGTGCTCCATGATGTTCGTGATTTTGCATCCTGTGACAGAACATGTCCTTGAATGCCTTGAGCCTCATACATATCCTTGCTGTTTGTCCACATGATGGGCAAGCCCAACAACAATCAGCTCCTCACAATACCATGCTGCTACAGTTATTACCTTATGGTAAGACAGAATTTGAGACCTGTAAGGTTGATTTTCAAGTAATAAAGATGTATCTGTCCTCCTTCCTGATGCACGATACTTCCTAACTTTCATCTTGTTAGTAATGGCAGTGGAGGTGATCGTCTTTAAGGATCCTATTCTAGATGCTAATGTAGGTAGGACTGTCACTCTAGAAAGGTTTTGTTTTTCTCTTTTTTTGTATCATCTAAAAGGCTACATTTACTTGCATCCCTCTTTTTTGAAACCCTTCAACTTTTGAGAGGAATGGATATGTTCAAGGACCCATGTGAAGTGGGTGGTGTCTCTCTTGCCCGGAAACAATGGTTCATTCTTTTCCTCTCTGGCTATCTTGCTCTAATGAAGCAAGAAGGATTTGAAACTCCTCCAGCTCCTAAACATCAGATATCATAAACTACAAATCACAACTCATGTGGAGATGCCGTATTCTCTCTAAGTCCTTTTTAGTAAAGGTGACTGTATTGATAGATACTAGAAACATACAAAACTTTGGCCCCGAAATAAAATGAGGTGGAAGTGTACAAATGGGAATCAAAAGCAAAAGGAAAATCCTCAGAGATACCAATAAGGGCCAAAAATGAGACTCCACTACAGGACGTGGTTAAGTATTGTTAGATACAAAATTGTGGGCGGTAGGCCCCTCTTTAGCTAGGGAATCAACAAGTGAGTTTCTTTCCCTCAATCCATACTTAAAGGTGACCATCAGCAAGCTAGTTATAAATATTTAATCAACGAGGTTTTCGAGTAGTCAAGGGCACGGGGACCGGGATATAACAGTCTTTGAATCCCCTTCCATAAGGAGGGGTGCCCCCATTCAGGCCTGTATGGCTTTAAACCATGAAGAAGGGCAGAGGCCTCTGCCATGGTGGAGTTAGCAGTGCCTATGGAACTCGTGAAAGAGAGCATATGGGATTGGCTCTTTCTAAACACCCCACCAATGCCCAGAGGCCCTATATGGCCTAAGGAACAACTATCAAAGTTAAATTGTTTGGCCCTGAAGTTGGAGGCTGCCATAAGTTGGATCTAGATGTTTAAAGACCCTGGAAAGAAGTGTTTGAGACCATCGTAGCTCAAAATCCGACCGTTACCAACCTTGGAAAGCTTATGTTGCTGTGCCCAGATAAAGACCTCAATCACTTGGATCTTAGACTCTACATTAAAAATCTTCTTGTTGCATTGCCACCAAAGCTCCCAAATAATTGCAAGGATTATAACCCTCAAAAGGAAGGCCACCCACTGAAATGGGGCAGTTAAGTAAAAAGTGCACATGGTTTCTCCTTGCCTCTTATATAAAGCAAATTGGCTAGTTAAAGGGAGACCCTTCTGCTGCAGCTGCTTCTGAGTAAGTGGTCTGTTGTTCACCGCAATCTAGGAGAATGCGTGGATTTTTAAGGGGTTATAAAAGACCCAAGATTTGCGAGCAAGAGTCAAAGTTGAGGCATTCTGGTTTCCACTGCATAACACTCAGAAGAAAGAGTCAACTTAGAATAACCCCTAAAAGGGCAGGGGTTGAAAAGTTGAAAGGTTTTCTATCTACCCCCTGAGCTAGGGAGGAAGGTGGAACTTTCCTTGGTATTTTGCTCGGTGAGGTCTTTCCTGAAATTGGGAGTCCACATTCTTTACGCAGCTATGATCTTGAAGGATTGTGCCACTGAAGCCTCAGCGCGTTTGAAACTACAAAGAATCTTGGTTAGGCTAACTGCTGTGTACTATTACCGACCCATAAGTGCTTCAAAAAGCGGACTCTATTACCTTTCTTGGCCTTGAATCGAATGAATGGGATAAAATTCGCATAAGACAAGCTTATTCCCCTCCAAGCCCTAGAGGCCAAACCATTTGTTCTCCACTTCGGCAGGTATTTAATTCATCTGTGCAATCATCATATCATCATTTGGCTTATCCCAACTATTTGGGGTTGGCTACATGAATCTTGTTCCACCATTGGCCTATCATCATCATGTGGCTTATCCCAACTAACAAGGACCATATTTTAGTCAGATCTTACGACACCATATCTCTTCTCACTACTTCCATTCTATCCATGTCCTTTTGGGCCTTCCCCTTGCCCTTTTAGAGCCTTCTTCTTGAACTAAATTACCTCGCCTAACTAGTGCTTGTTGAGGTCAATGTTGCACATGGATAGACCACTTAAGTCTACTTTCCCTCATTTTATTGCCTATTGGAGCTACCTCTCAGTTCCCTTTGATGTATTCGTTCCGAATTCTCTTTTTTCTTGTTTTTCCACTCATCCATTTTGGCATCTTTTTCTCAACTTCTCATTCTATGAATATATTATTTCTTGACGTCCCAACATTCCGTCCCATAAAGTATGACTGATCGTACAACCGTTTTGTAGAATTTGCCCCTCAGTTTCATTAGCATGCGACAATCATATAAGACTCTGGAAGCACATCTCCACTTCGTCCACCTAGCTCTAATTCTATGTACGTTTTCCTCAATCTCTTCATTCTCATGGATTATTGATCCGAGATATCAAAAATAATATAAAAAATAATAGGATTCTCATTTATGATCCTATTATCACTGAACTTGCATTAGATATTATTTTGTCTTAGTTTGGCTAATTTTAAAACCTTTAGATTCTAGCGCGAACTCCAAAGTTAAAGCATCTCTAGTCGCTTCAGTTAAAGCTATGTCATCCGCAAACAACATGCACTATGATTCCTCATCCTGTAGATGCCTAGTTAACCCATCCATAACCAAAATAAAGAGATAAGGACTCAACGTTGAGCCATAATGTAGGCCTACTGTCACTGAAAACTTACTTGTCTCTCCGCTAGTTGTCCTTACACTAGTTAGTGCTCCCGCTCCCTCGTACATATTTCTCACCATGTCAATATATCCTCTGGAGACTCCTTTTCCAACTCCCACCAAATTAACTTTTTAGGTACCTATCGTATTCTTTCTCTTAATCAATAAAGACCATGTGAAGGTCTTTTCTCTTCTCCTTAAACTTATGAATCAATTGCCTAAATAGGAAATTAGCCTCAATTGTTAACCTCACTGGCATAAAACCGAGTGATTTTCTGATGCACTCGTTTTATGTCATAGTAGTTGCTCAATCACTCTTTCCCATAGCTTCATAGTGTGATCCCTCGATAGTTTCCACAATTCTGTGTCTCCTTTGTTTTTGTAAATGGATACCTTAGTATTTTTCTGCATTTGTCTGGCATTTTCTTTATTCTCAAAATCTTGTTGAACGATTTTGGTCAACTAAGATATGCATATCTCTCTTAGGCACTTCCAAGCCTCTGTGGGATACCATTTGGTCCTAAAGCTTTTCCTATCTTCATCTTTTTGAAAGCATTATTCATTTTAGAAATCATGATCCTACGAATGTATCTATGACCTGTTACGTCATTTATGTCAAAGATTCCTCATAACGTTGTGCTCCCTTGGTGGTCATCATTAGCAATATTTGAAAATAAATTCTCCACCTTCCATTGACCTCATCATCCTTCACCAAGACCCTTTGATCCTCACCCTCAATGCATTTAACATGATCTAGACCGCTACATTTTCTCTCTTCCATTTTTGCTAATTTGAAGACATCTTTGCACCTGCTCTTTTCCCCAGTTTATTGTATAGATCATCATATACCTTAGGTTTATCTTTACTATTATTTTAGTAGTGTTCTTCTTGGCATTTTTTTTTCTAAGTTTTGATCATTTATATTCCATTGCCAAGCTTTGTAACATGATCATTTTTCGCTAATAGCCTTTTGAACCTCATTACTCCACCACCAAGTTTCCTTATCTGAATGTCTTTTCCCTCTAGATTCTCCTAAAACTTCTTTTGCCACTTTCTTAATACAATCAGCCGTCTCATTCTACATAACATTATCTTTGTCATTAGAATTCGATTTTCCTTCTGTTATCAATTTAT